ACACTGACTCACCTTTCCATCAATATTATTCTTTCCATGTTCACATTGGGAAGTTGGGAAGTGAACTTTCAGGCAGGTAGCTGGAGGAGAGAATCTCATCAGAATAGGGCATTGCACCTCAAAACTCATGGAAATTTGGTCATACTGGTACCTTTCCAACACTCTGTTGTTACCACGGGTTCAGCTCATGCCAGCCTCATACTGTCCCACCTCCACACAAGGCCAAACTAGGTGTCTTTGTTGAAGGGTCCAGGATGTATCCTGTGCCTGGATGCCCCAGAGTCTGTAGCAATGTTTCTATAGTTTTCAGTGAGAAGAGGAGAAAGCTCTGTGTTCTCATTATACCTGGAGCTAAGCATAAAGTCTAACAGCAGAAACAAAGAAAAAATACAGAGCAGCCAGTGTTATCCAAATTGTTATAGGCTTTTATGGAATCATAAAGATCAGTAAAATGGTCTTTGTGTAACATACCACAATTCCAAACATAATAAAACTAAAATCAATGAACACTCTTTAAAATGAGTGAATACACCCACACAGTTCAAATTTCATTGTATTTAGACATGCAGTAGATGTTCTGATACATCAACTTTGATTTTGCCTTCCCCTCCTCCTAGATATTCTTTTTATCAGGTTGCCTGTACAAAACACATTGAACACAGTGGGGGGGAAGGTGGGAATGGTGTTTGGTTTTAAGTATTCATTAAACATCTGTAGCAGTTAATACAAAGGAAGAGTCTTTGAATAAATCTAAAAATTAGGAAATTGTACTTCTGATCTTGACTTCATCCTCATGCATCAATGAACATATTTTAATTCTGTTCATCTTTATTGTGTTTAAACCAAATACTGCAAACAACAACCCTCATCTGCCTGTTACATATCATTTCTAATGACAGGGTACCTTTTGTTCTAAATGCACAGTAAAAAGACTTTCACTTTAATATTCTAGTTCTTGGCTTTTCAAGTTAAAGTAGTGCTTTACAAGTGATCTCTACTGATAGTGACATACATTTACATTAGAATTCCAACCTGATTCTCTACCTTTCATCATCTACATATATCTTTTGTTTTGTTTCAGATTCTTTTCTTGCAGGTTATGTAGATTTCACTGCAGTAGATTTTTCCCCCAAAGAATATCCAAAAATACATGTCTGCATAGCATAAAGTTGGAAGAACTGTTTGTCACAGTCTGCTTAACAAAACAAGTTGTTTTTCTGTTTGCAGATTATCCCTGAGAAGGCATCCAAGTTTTACAAATGCATTCATTATTAGAAATCATTCTGTGAACTTCATAATTTAGGGCCAAAATAGACTATCAGTTCATTTAGAGTTTGACCTCTTGTACCATATAAATTACTACATTTCACCCGTGCTCTAAACTCAGAGACTTCATTAGAGTAAAACATTTCAAGTCCTAAGATTAAATTGTGCTTCACTGGTTGAGAACAAGACAGACAAAGCTGCCAGGAATATTTAAGCCCCCTGGAATAGCAAAGAATTATTTAGATGAGATATGCCCGGATCATCCCAGCAGGTGAGGCTTAAGCTTAATGAGCAGTAGGATGGAAACACCTGAAGATCATCTTAGGAAAGATGATACTCTGCACCAGAGCACTCACTCACTCTGGTCCCAGGACAATTACAGAAGGATTTGAGTTCCTAATCATGAATGTCTAGTGCCACTTGACACTTCTCACGAGGTAGCCTGGTATGCCTGGAGGCAGGACAGCACTGCACCAGCAGGGACCACAGCCCCAGGAGTGCCAGGGGAGGGCAAGATCCGTGAGGCACAGACAAGGGGGCCCTCTGTCTCACAGCACAGAGTCCCAAGGATGGGATTCAGTTCCACAAGCAGCCCCAGACTTTTTTTCAGTCCATAAGGCTTTACACTAGACAGCAGAGGAGCCTAGCAAGCTGCTCAGTACCCATGTTATTGAGCTGGCAGACTCCCTGGGCTCTCTTCTCTGATGAACAGCTCCCTGTTGCACAAATCTCACCCTGAAGGGCTCGAGCACTTCAGAAGGATGTGAGAAAACAGCCCAGCAAGGTCTAGGCAGGGATGTGTACATGCAAAATCTGCCTTTGACACACAAGTTTTCATTGCACACACTGCCTTAACCCAGGAAGTAGAAATGCAGAGGTAATACAGCCACCAATGCCAGCAACCTCCCAAAGGGAGGCTCCCATGACAGGACTCGCCAACCTCCCCCCAGGCTGGGCACCCCCAGCTTCCCCCCAGTCTGCTTCAGCAAACACCTTCTGGTGTGCTCCCACCCACACCGTGGGTACCTCACCAGGAGCCTGCCTGCCACAGGGCTTGCTGGGCAGGTCTTTTCCCCTCACTGTTTCCAGCAGCAAACGGAAATCTCAGATATTGCCAGCCTCCTCATTACACACCCTCAGCCTCTACCTCAGGTACACACTTGGCCTTGCTCACTTGGTCCCTGCCTATTTAGGATTTGCCATTTCCTCTCCCTTCATGCTCTCAGGGCTTTCCAGGTCTGGCCTGGGAGAGCACAAGAGCATGCCTATTCCTGCTTAAGGAGACTGTTTTTTCATGGCAAACAGTCAAATTTGACATTGTCTGTGAAAGCCTAGATGTGAAAATAGTGTATTCTTGCACGGCTCTGCTCTCAGAAGTGCTAAGCAGTGAGCAGCTCCCCATAGCCCCACAGCTATGCATTTCCATAAAAAACAAATTGAGGCCTTACCAAGCATTGGAGTTCTTTAAATCGTAGGTAAAACTAATCTGTATTCCAATTTGAAAAAAGTCTCTGAAAGGACAAAACATGCATGTTGATGGCAGAGAAAAAAAATCATATGTCTGCTCATTGGGGAAAAAAATCCAAGAATATTTAATGTGTGAAAATAGGACTCCAGTTATGCTGTTAAGAATAATGAAATCTAGGGTGCTAAGTACTGTATGTGTCGCTGTACAAGTTAAGCTGCCTGAGGCAGTTTTAATTTCTCTAGCCAATTTTTCTTAAATTTTCTCTGAATTTACGCACCCAAGTATTCATCACCTGTGGAGGAGGGGGCTGGGTGGAGTAAGTGCAGCCAGAGATGCTCAAGGCAAAGGCATGCCTGGGTCCTGGCCACAGGGCAGCTGGGCACTGGGAGCAGGGCTTGCCAGGGAGCCCCAGAACCAGAGCAGACCCATCCCAGCTCCTCTCAGGTCTGCCGGGAGCTGCTCTGTCTCTGCTGTGGTGGATTTTAGTCACAGGCTTAGCTATTCCCTCCAGCTAAAGAGAAAGGGCTGGTCACAGCAGCCCCTTACTGAAAGAAACAGCCTTGGAGGCAAGGGGCAGAGCCCGGAGCTGGCACTGACACACATCAAAACTGCCTTCCTCATAGTTACTTTCCTTGTCAAGAACAGGCTGAAATTAACTTGTCAAAATCATTAAATTTGAGAGGCAAACCTATTCCAAAATTGGATAGCCACAAACAAGTGCCATCAGCAGGAGCATACACTTTGTGGGACTACACCAGACATTTGCATTTTAGTGGTGAAATAAACATTTACTTCTGCAAACCACTGTAGTACCTGCTGTAATTTTACTTGCCAGGACCCATTGAGTTTAAGGCAGAAGTCTGCCTCCATAGTCAGGTTTGCTCCAGCCTCAGCAGCACTTGCCCTGTGAGGGCTTGGGAAAGGGTCTTCAGTCTCCTTTGGTCTCCACCCCATATCCCTGACAGGAAAATTTTATTTTAGATTTGCGAAATATTCACTATTTGTGATCTCCTATGGTGAGCTGTCACTGTCTGGGTGTGACTCAGAACATGGATTAAAGTGAAATAGTTGCCAGAGAAACAGAGGTAGGTGCTGTGAGGCAATCCACGGGTGCCCTGGGCAGCAAACGCTGGCAGTGGCATCCTTGCAGGATGCTCCATGCTGGTATCAGAGGCTCCCTGGCCAGGCACTGCACAGGGATCAGCCAGTGTCCACGACTTTGGACAAAGCCATGGCCTCTGTGAGCTGCTGCACACAGGAAAGGTGCAGAGTGCTGCAAAAGGGCCCTGGTGTGCACCCCAGCAGCAGTGCTGAGGAGCCCCTGAGCCCCTCTGCCAGCACTGCCAGCTGTGCACAGCCTGCTCCTCACTGACACACATCTCACCTGTCAGCAGCCAGCCCTGAAAGCACCTGGCAACCTTTCAGCCAGCTCTCCATGTGTAACAGCCACAAGCCAACAAACCATCAGCACAGTGACTGAAAAGCCCTTCATTCTCCCCCTTCCTTCTGTGTTTATGTTTCCCCAAACATACAGTGCAGCCATTTCCACTGAGCTAATTTCAGACATTATTTGGGTTACAGAGCAGTAGCTCTGCTTGCTTGAGTCACTAATCCAGCCTCAGGTGTGGAGATTAAGCCAGAGCCCATTTTTATCACGTTCTCTAAAGAAAGGGCTGCTTTTTCTGCACTGCAAAACAGGGTCTGCACTGTGTTCCTGATTTGCAACAGCAATGTGCAGGCTGCATTGCTGGATGGATTGTCCAGGCAGGGTGCTTTCCTCCTGCCTTGGGCACAGCACTGGGAGGCAGATCCAGCTTCTTGTTCATCCAGAGGGACAAAATGCACAACCAGCAAAGGCAAAAGCTGCTCCCCACCCCCACCTCAGCAGCTTGAGTCTGGAATCCTCCTGTCCAAGGGGAAGCCCTGGGGTGGAGATCCCACCTTGGTCCCTGAGCATAACACTCCAGGTTATTCCCTAGCTGCTGCCCAATGGAGGGAGGTGGCAGCAGGACAAGAGCCTAAAAAGGTGCAAAGCCAGGCCGGAAGACCTTATGGAAGGTGTCTGTTCAGCTCTGCTTCTGTACCAAGGAAATTATTGCACTCATTTGCCTCTGGGGATAAAATGCCTGTATCTGTATCCTTCATCTCCAAGCATTACAATTTGCCCAAAAACTGTAGTTGAATTTATCTATCATCTATATTGTGTTTGGGCACAAACTAGTGCAGAAGACCAGATTTGCCACTGGCATAGTTTGACTTTCATACCTTTTTAATTTTTCTTGCAGTTGTATCCAAATGGCAGCAAAGATGGACCTCTTCCATGTCCTCATTTTCCAAACACAAAACTCGAGTGAAGCGGATTGTGTGGGGTTTTTTTCTCCTTTGCAATGTGAGATCCTCTCTTCTCCTCTACTCCCATCAGCAACCAGAAAATATCCTCAGAACTCTGATGGAAAGACAAGACACGTGAGATAGTATATTATTCTGAATGGAGTTTCTGGAGCAACTAAAGTTTTGAGCTCATCTGCTGCTCTCTCTCAAGCTTGATTCAGAATCTAATTTGTCCAAAATTTCAACCGTGATGAACTTTCCCAAAACAGAAGCAGCAAGCTGCTTCCCACCATCACATACTTGGCCTGCATCCCGCCTATCCATATGCAGCAGATGTAAATATAATTTACTGGCACAAGCAGCTTTCTGCAAATGGCATCTTTCTAAGTCTTCTTTAGTATCCATGTGAAGAAATAAATGATTTTATTGATGCACTTGGAGGCCCCAATAATGCTTCATAATGACCTACAAATGGAGGTCTTTCTTAATATGCATCGATCAATAACTCACATAATTACGTCGCGTATCATTTTGCTGAATGGTTAACAATTCTAACCAAAGTTATAATGATTCCTTACAGACAACATAAGTCTTCTAGGAGCCACATTTTGCTGCCTTCCATATATTGTAGACCTGCAAAGATACAGATTTAGTGCAGGCACCAGTTGCATCAGCTAATTTAGGACACTGCCTCTTCTCTGGTGTGCCCAGTCACTGCAAGTGCAGCTTGCAAAGTCTCCTGCCACATCATGAGATGCCTTGGAGAACAGATTGGAGCAAATACAGACAATTCCTTTTTTTCCTATCATGTTGAAATAAAGTGGTTAGTAAGATGGTGCTTTAATCAGGGAGAAGACAACTATAAAGTCAGAATGAAATATTTTCAGTGGTGACAACCTGTCTGGTGGCAATGGGAAATCCTGCATGTCAGCACATTCATTCTTGGCTTTATCCTTGCTCACTGGATGTGACTCAAAGGAAATGCTGGGCTTCAGTTTCTTCATCAGCAAAATGGGGATAATATTTCCACTTATGCAAGTCACTTTAAGTGGAAAGCACTGCATTCATGCAAGATAGCTTTATCATGCCAGTACACCACAGAGTTTTTCACTTTCTGCCTGGAACATTTCATAAAAATCCCTCCACATATGGAACAGAACAACTATTACAGACTTCCAAAAATGTGATTTTTAAGGGAGCTGACAGTGCCACTTACATTTGTGCACTTTTGTGTTTCAAAACGAGTCATGTTTGGCAACGAAATTCACAATCATCTGGCAGTTTTTGCAGAAAAAAGCTGACCATACTGCTCCAGGTTTTGCCAGCCTTGTCACAATCCCCCTGTGCACCAGCCCTGGCTGCAGCCTGGGCAGCAGGATGTGGCTGGCAGGCTCTTGATCAAACCCCCAGCTTCACACGTGGGTTTTGGAGCAGAGACACATTGTTTAGCACTTTAAATTCCCCTCAGCAGAACTGTGCTGCAGCATCAGTTGTCATTCCATCACTCACCTTTAGTGGATGGAGGAAAATGATGCTCTAGCACCTTGATGCTTTGCTTCACAGAAGTGGTGAGCCCTGGGGCTTCAGGCAAGCTGCAGACACTGCTCTGGAGAGCCCCACAGTCCCTCTGCACACTCAGCTCCCCATCCACCACGAGGGGTGGTTTGCTGCTCCTGGCCCAGCACTGTGCTGCCAAGGAGGCACAGCTCTGTTTAGAAACCCACTACCCTCTTCCCAGTGCAAGGCTTTATCAATGCCAGGAGACTGATAAATGCTTACATAGTTCAACTTTGTGCTCTTCCTCCTCTATGAGCTTGGAACAAGACTGTGGACAAGCACCATACATGACATAGCTATCAAAGAAAGAAGAATTATATTTTAATTACTGTATTTATCTCAGAGAACACAGTGATTGGATTCTCTGATGAAAATAAATGCAATGAAAGACTAACAGACTTTTGGTGGCAGAACCATTAAATCCTCTCTGTAAATATGGTCTGGATATCTGGGGTGCAATTAGGAGAGCAGCACTGAGTGCTTCTCTGGGTAAGTGTACAGATGCACTCTAACCTGAATCTAATTCTGCTCAAAGGCCAAGGCAGAGCAATGCTATTTGTGCTGTAATGATTTAGTAGAAATGGGCACCATTATATTTCTAATGACTTTTGGTCAATGAGCACCTTGGACTTTCAGTGCCTGCTACTAAAGGCCTGATTGCTTTTAGCAACTCTTTCACAGAAGATACACCATCACAGCAAATGCAGATCTCACCTGTGGAGAAATCAGACCCAAACAAAGCAGTGGGTATCAGGACAATAGGAGAGCTTCTGTAGCAAACTGCAAAATTCAGACATCACTAGTAGACATTACTTGTAAAAACAGATCAGAACAAATAATTCAAAATGAATAATTTATTTGATTAATTTTGTTTCTCCTTGCTTGGGGAATATATATAAGCCAATCACACCATCTTGAATTTATTATTCAAATATATTCAGTGACTTTCTTTTCACTATATTTTTTTACTCTATGGACTAATCAGAATATTTAAAATTAAAAATACACAGTTTTTCTGTGATTGGCCAGACATACCACATGACATTACTTTTCTTCTGGGAGCAAGTGAGTATGCCAGCACTTCTGGAGTAATCCTTATGCATGCAAAATTGAAAATTCAGTTTTGACAAATATTTGCATGTGCATCTTTGGAATTCACTTGCTGCCAAGAAAACTGTCAGTAAAATTCAGCACCTCTTAAATTTGTAAAATGTGAGAACTAAAACATGCATTTTAACATTTGCATTTATTTTTTTCTCTGTTTCATCTGGAAGTTTTAGAACATTGTTTTTTTTTTTCCCTGAATGAATGCAGCATTGCATAGCAGGACCGAGTTACAGTTTTGAGCCACTCAATATCACTTGACTCAGCCAATGGTCTGTTATCCTAAAAGCCTGTGCTTTTCTAAACAGGCAAATGCTGTGTGCACCACATGCAAGGCCTTCAAAAGTCGGGGTGGTTTTGCCTTGATGTGTATGTTCATTATTCCTGTATCAAACAACCCCTCAATTACTGAATGGCTCTAGTTCTACTGTTAGGAAGAGGCAGATTTGAGAGCAACTTATTAAAAGCCTAAACTGTGATGTTAGCATACAACATAGGTAAAGGGGAAAGTTATTCCACCATAGAAAACTTCAATTTCAGCTTTTTAATTAATGAAGAGCACCTGCTAAAGGAGCCCTCACCTGTCTGGTGTGTTACTTTGTGCAATCCCCCACTTGAGGGCAGAGCTTCAGTTAGGGATTCCAGAGAATTTTTTCTACCTCAGCCTTCAGCTTCGTGTTTCTGAAAACATGCTCATATGTACATTTGCCTGAGAACCAATACAACTATCTACAGGATTTATGTGTTAATATATCCCTTGGTCTGTCTTTAAAACAGCCTCCATATGTTCATATGCAGGGACATGAAAAAAATTTAGGGTCTGTCAAATCTTCAATTACATCTGACCCACTGGTGACTTGAGATGGGGATGAAACTGAATATATCCCTGATCGTGTTTGGCAGAAGTATTTAGGTGGAAACTCTGCCCACAGAGAGAAATTTTAGTGATCTGTAGCAATCAAAAGCAGAGCTTGACGTAGCCACTGATGTCCTGGCTCTGCAGACTGCCCTCGCTCGAGGCCCCCGTGTCCTGTTGTGCTGAGGGGAGCCAGTCCTGCCTGCCCAAAGGAGCAGCCAGCATACTTTGGGACACCATCAAAGAGCAACAAACAACACCCAGCCCAGAGAGCAGGGGGGTTATCCGCTGGCAAAGATGGACAGCAATGACCACAAGTGCAATTATAAAACCATGGCAGGAAATAGGGTATTAACACAGTGAACAAACAGAGCTGATGCTCCAGTTACCATGCAAGATGATTTAAATGGCTTAATTTACACTTCACAGCAAGCCTTTCCTACTGCAAATCAATAAATTTGCATAGGTTCTCAAAATAATCAGCAACATGCTCCTGCATATATTTTTTTAAATAGGTACAAAATTCCTTAATGAAAGCCAGAATCGCATCATAAACTCAGTTTTTAGTTCACTTGCTAGTTGCCCTGATGAGAGAATATGAATATATTAAGGGTTAGAGTTAAGCAGCAGCTTTGCAGCTCATTTCTGCAGATAGCAGGACTGCAGGTTCCCATGGATCCAGGTGTACAGCCCCCTCCCATCACCCCCCAGTGGTGCAGGCAGAGCCTCCTGAACACTCCTGGCCTGAGCAGAGGAAGAAATTCAGCTCAGATCCTCTGTGAACATCTCCATGCACACTTCTGTGCAGGGGACAGGCATGTGGAAGGGGGCCAGACACATGCACAGAGGTCAAGTTCCTACAGGAGTAACCTTTAACCAGAGCCAGTCACATTTTTTTCCATGTAATTTCTAATTTCTTGTTCCCTCCTTACCTTTGGTCTGGCTGGGATCAGAAGTAGAAGCTCCAAAATGCCACCAGCAAGGCTGTGCTGGCAGCAAAGGTGGTCACAGCTCCTGAGAAAGCCTGTTCCCATCAAGGTATCAATGTGAAATTACCAGTTAAAGGTTAAAAATGTTTGACAGAGGCATCCTGGCACTCAGGGTCTCCCCTGAGCCAAGGCAAACTTCAGATGATACTGAATTATCCCTTTCAATATCCAGGACAGCTGAAGACAAGGCTTTGCACTTGCCCGGGCTGTTCTGCTCCCCTCTCATTTTGGTGCCCCCGTGTACAGAGCCACAGCAAAGCCTGACCCCTCTGGGACTCGAGGATCTGGCACAAAGGAGTGAGGAGATCTCACAGCTTCACTGGATCCTGGATAAACTCTGTACTGGTGGGTGAGTGGGGTGTGAATGGGCTGGTCCCAGGGCTGGGGCAGCAGGGCCAGGTGTCAGCACTGGCTGTGTGCAGGCAGGGTGAAGCTGGGGTTCTGACTTACCAGCCCAGTCTTTCTGTGCCCAGCTGTAAAAACAAAACAACAACCAAAAAAACCCCAAACAAAACCCCAAAACAAACAAAAAAACAACATCAAGATTTAAAAAGATTGCGAGGGAATATTTCTCTCCTTGTAGCTGTGCAATGACTAAGGGCTTTGAAGTTAATTTTTAAGCAGATCTTTTTACTCCTCTGCTAAAACAATAAGCAAGGTTTTTAAACACAAACATAATGAGTGCAGAGGATGGAAAAAAATATGGGTATTTCTGCCAAATGCAAGAGAAGTGTAGGCAGGGGCTTTGATGGTTCCACTGCTGGAACAGGGGGGCCTCTTGCTCTTCAGGGCTAGTGAAATGAGTTGTCACAAGTTAGCCTCAGGTACTGACCAAAATCTGAACACTCCTCCTGCTTCCCAAGTGTGTGCCATGTCACTGTGGGTCACCACCAGGCATCTTGGGGCAGTACAAACAGCACTCAGGCGGAGTTCCAGACCTCTCCTGGATAGCAAGGACATTCCTCCTGCCCTGAGCCCTGCCCCAGCTCTGTTCAGGGAGCTGAGGAGCTGGAGCAGGGCTCAGATGATCATCATCTCTCCCTGTTGCCAGGCTCAAATCCTGGTACAGACAGCCCTTGCTGAGCACCACTGCAGCAGCCCTGTCTCTGCTGGGATGGAGCTGCTGCAATTCCCATTAGCCTGTGCCTTGTGGGCCCTGCCAGAGAGAAGGTCTGTGTGTGGAGCATCATGAAGAGCTCTGAAGAAGAGCTCTACCCTTCATCTGACTCCCTGCAGTCCCAGCACTGAGGAGCACAGTCTCCTCACTCAGCCACTGCTGCTGTCTCTCATGGCTGAAGATAATTGGTGGATATGGAAAAGGGACCCCTGTTATGGCCACATTACCTGGCAAGGTACCACTAGCCTGCTGTCCCTCATTTCTTTGCATGTCTCATACTTAATTTGTTTTTTATTTGATTGGGTTTATTTTTTTAAGTATTCATTACTCATGGCAGAATGTTGGGTTATAGTGTGTCAAACTTGACAAAACTTCAAGCAGAGAGAATGATAAAAAGTATCTTGAAAATCATATTTGCCCCTTAATAATTTAATTCTACAGAAAGGGAAATCAAAGCATCACAAATTGATTGCTGTGAAACAAATTACAATTATTTCCACACATCCAAATAAATCTACTAATTTTAGGCATCTGACTTGAGGCATTAGATGGAATATGCAAATGCACATGTTGAAATTATGGCCGTGTCTCTAGAGCTGTTCACTTATTTCTCTGTTCTTACTGGATGCTCAACAGTTTCAGACTGCTATTGAGACATGCAGTAAATTAGCTGCTCTTAAGCACTGCATGTTAAAAGTATTAGAAAGCACTTCTGTAAAGCACAGCTGACAGTCTCAGGCAACCAGCTCTGGCTTATCCTTTCTAGAAATACAGACTAATGTCTAATGTCCACTGTCACTTCCCCCAAATCTGCTTCCAATTGGGTCATACTGGTCAAGCTACCCTTGACTGAAGCCCTCTGCCCTGCTCTACTTTATAGAAAAGAATGCCATGACACGAAATGTCCCCCTTGAACACCAGTTTTCCACATACATTTTACAAAATGTACTTGTTCAGCTGTCACAGAGCTTCACATAAGAGAAGCCATCTGATATTGTTACTGACATACTAGTCTAGTGTGGCTTTTAATATCAGGCTTTTTATAACTCACAGGGATGGCAGAGCAATCTCAGGTAATCAAAATAAATGAAGACAGCCTGAATAATGCATTTGTTAAATCTAAATAACATACAGTGGACACCTTTTAAAGTGTTTTCCAGGAAAATGTGACTCAGGTGCAATATTGATTGAGAAGATAAAGACAGGTGTTTTCAATTCCTATATTATGGA